TCCTCAGCCAGCTGGCTGAGGAATTCTGGGAGTTGAAGTCCACAAGACTTAAAGTTGCCAAGGTTGGACACCCCTGTTTTAATTCCATGACCACAGCACGCCTTGATCCCTTAGATCTGTATTTTTCACTGATTATTTGCTCTCCATCCTAAGCAAAGATAAATAAATGAATCAGTGAAATATCACATTTGCTGCAGGTAGCATTTGTACAAATTCCTTTATGAACTAAGTACAGGTAGTCCTCGACTTACAACAGTTCACTTAATGACCATTCAAAGTTGCAACAGCATTGAAAAAAGTGATTTATGGCCATTTTTCCACATTTATGACCGCTACAGCATCCACATTACTAATTTAACAACAGCAGTGATTCGCTTAACAACCGTGGCAAGAAAAATCATAAAATGGGAAAAAACTCACTTAACAAATGTTTCACTTAGCGACATAAATTTTGGACTCCGTTGTGGTCGTAAGTCAAGGAGTACCTGTATAGATCTTTACTCATGTAGCTTTTCCTGGAAGTTGGATTGATCTCAGAATGAGATCAGCAGCCTGAACCTTGCTGGTTCTTGACTTGATAGAGACACTTATACGTGACCCAATCAATCAAGTCTTTATTAAGGTCATAGGCCGGCAGGAGGAGGGTGAGGTAATTTTTTACCAAGCTAAAATTATTAAAACAAAATAACGCAAAATTTTTGAAAAACATAAACATACATTTTAAAAAGCATAGATATCTAAATTGATAAGCAAAAATCTAAAACAAAAGATCTGTATGGAAGAGTAAAAACATTAAACAAATACAGGTAGACATGAGTAATACTTGAAGTAGGATAGATATGACACCATACCTCAACCAAACAAGGGAGCACATAATAATGGATAAATAGTTGAAACTAAGCAACAGAAGTAAAATTGTAAGATGAAAAATTTCAACAGAGAAGCAAAGTGACAATCAACAAAACCAAACACAATAACAGTACTTAGCCATCTCAAAGACAAATAACTTAGCAAATGTAATTTTACATTTATTTGCACAAAACACATGCTCATGGTATAACAAGAAAATGTAAAACTTCATCCTTTTCGTTCAGATTTTTAGAATATTAACTAAAATAACTCTTACTTTATTCAGTGAGGCTTACTCCCAAGTAATTTTGCAGGGTGGTAGTGTGGAAAGGGAACTTCACGAGGACAGTGGTGTCACCCAAGCAGGAAAAGCCCAAAGGGAACATCAAGCCAGCCATAAAACAAACTTGCATAGGAAAAGGAATCAAATAAAAAGTATTAAAGAAGCCCCTTAGACAAAAGCCCAAATAATTAAGAAAACTAAGGAAACAAGAAAAAACCCTTACAAACACAAGACATGCCAAATCAGCAAAACAAACAGACAAAAGACACAAAATATATTGCAAAGGAGACAGACAGGAGATTGCCACAAAACAAATATAAGAAACCATTAAGAAAAAAAAAAGACTAGGACGAAACTGATAATCCAATCAAACCACCCTGCGGAGTTTACCCTCCGGCGGAAATGAAGACAACCCCTGACAGGATTTAAAACATTAAGAAATACAAACACAAGCACACACACACAAAAGGAGAAAAGGTATAAAAAATCAGGGGCTTATCATACAAAGCTAGCTAGCCCCAGGAACGCAGACTTCTTGCTATCTCTCACCTTCCTGAAAATAAAAAGATCCAGCTTTCAAGCAGTTGTCTGTATCCTTGCACCGGAGCTCTCCCAGCAGGAAAATCGAATCCTCAGAAGAAAGGCATTTTCCAAGCCTTTCAACAGTAGTATTGCATTGCCTAGCAAAACTATAGCACTGAAAATACGTTGAACAATTTAAGAAAAGGACTCTGACCATAAAAATGAAAAGAAATTTGTTAGTAATACAACCTTGATTTGATTCAGAAAAAAATATATTCAAAACTATCCAAAATGGACCAGCACTTCATTATACCCATCGTACAATAATACACGTAAAAGCTAAAGCAATTTTTTTAAAGAAAAGATTGGTATGTTTGGGAATTTTCTAAATCATATACAGTTCTCAAAAAATTGCTTTAATGTTTTTGAGACTGCAAGGACCTTATTGTGAAACTGCCTAGAGTGATTTCATATGCTATAAATATTCCTGAGGAACTTGCTGCTTTCAATCACTTGTCTTTGAGGACTAAAAACTATTTGCATATTCTTTCAATAACAGTTGCTACCTATAATTATTTTTTCCCTAAAATACTAAATACTGAAGCAAAGCCAGGGTATAATGATGTGCCTAGAGATTCCCACTAAACTTCAGAGGTATAAGCTCTTTAAGCCTGTGTACTTCAGGGATATTTCTGTTTACCTGAGAAGATTTCTGAGAGCAACATTAGAAGTGAAATCTGATCAAACGAAAACAAGAAATGATACCATTCAGATATAGTCCCAGTTCCCCACATATGCTGATGGAGAGATAACTCAACAAGATTTTCCCTGAATGGACAAGTACAGGATTCTAATGTACTTATGTTTAGCAGTTCCGCCTTTCTTCACAATACAGGTAGTTCTCAACTTACAACATTTCATTTAATGACCGTTTAAAGTTACAAAGGCATTGAAAAAAGTGACTTATGGCCGTTTTTCACACATACAACCGTCACAGCATCCCCATAGTCATATGAACAAAATTCAGATACTTGGCAATTGACTCATATTTATGACGGTTGCAGTGTCCTGGATTATACAAGGTAACCAAAAAAATCATCTGCTGAACCCAATATTAATTTAAGATTCTGGAAACACGTGTTCCTTGTTTAAGATTGATAATGCTAATTTGTTCTTATTTAACATACATACCTCCTCTAAATAAAACTCAAATAATAGAATAACAGAGTTTGAATGGCACAAATAAGCTCAGGTCTTCAATTGAATTATTAATCACATATTTTTAATGATGATTATGATTGTTAAAATGGACATTAATGAAAATCATTAACAAGCAGGACTTTTTAAAAAATATTGACCAATATCTGATTCTCCTGAAGCAAACATATTGGCTGTAATTCTCCCCAGAGACATTTTCCATTATTTGCCTAGCCATACATCGATAATCAGGCGTAAGGGAGATATTTATTTCAAGGTTATAAAAATGAGACAAGTCTAAGCTATAGACACTAATGTTATAACTATAGACAAGCTATAGAATTAATGTAAAAAAGGCATTTTACATCTTTCTCAACAGCAGCTCATACAAAGAATACACAAGAGTGCTATTTTGAGCAAGCAGTCATTTGATCTTAAATTAAAATACACGTTCTGCGCTTGCAATTTCACAGATGAGCTTCTGGGAACTTAACAGTGAAGAAGCTGTTAGCTACAACATTTTGCCTTCCATTTTTCCCACTAGTATCTAATAGTTCATGTAGACACGTCCACCATAAAATATCAACATTATTTGCCCATTTTGAATAATTCAGGGAACTTCTGAAATGCAGATGTACCTATCTGGAGAAAATGAACATTGGTTTCATATGTTAAACTGATCAAGAATCATGGATTTTACTTTCTGAAAAACAAATAGCCTCGTTTATTGTTCCTCAAACTGGTGGCCTCAGATGTATTGGATTACAATTGTCATAATACTCAGAGAGCCATGTTTTTATTTAGCTAACACTCTTTCTGTATTTCTTTTGTCTTTGTGATTCTTCATTGCTATCCAATCTGACTTCTTTAACAGACCTGCAAAGCAGTGATACCTCTATTTAAATTTAAAAAAATAGTATGCCCAAATGCCACACAAAGTAAGTAAACATTGATCAATACTAACATGTCTTTCCCTAGTCTATCTTAAATATTGCTGGTGTTTTTCAGTCCTTAGGGACTCTCCCCTAACAAATAAAGACCACATAAATGCACATCCAAATCTCCAGGCCCTGTACTCTAAATAGGCTAGAACCCATCCCAAATATTGAAACTGATTATGAAAAGTATGTTTATCACATTATCTGCAGTATTGCAGGTTAACTCTGCCCCACTCAGGAATTCGATCCTGACCATCTCAAGGTTGACTCAGCCTTCCACCCTTCCGTAGTCGGTAAAATGATGACCCAAGATGTTGTGGGCAACATGTTGACATTTATAAACTGCTCAGAGAATGCTGAAAGCACCGTGGGACAGTATATAATTCTAAGTGTTATTGCTATTGCTATCTACAACCCTAGCTTTACAAATTATTACATTAATACATCTATACTTCAAGCAAGGGCTCCATTCTATTCCTCTTATAGTTTTGTTCAGTGAGATTACAACTGTGACAACACAAGTGACCACTCAAATGGTCATATTTTTTACTTGATTGTTCTTAAGAGGCAGATTCTTTTATCCACAAGTGTTTATACCCTTTAATTGGACATTCCTGTTTGATCACAGTACAAAATAATCCACTTAAAAATGTTTCCTTGAGATTCTTCTGTCCATAGAGATACATTCTTCTCAACTTCTTGCTCCTGTGATGCTCAGCAATGCCAACGAATATGTAATGCTATTTCTCTGTAATTAATTTCTTCAGCCACCGCACTGAATATGTATATTCATCCCAGAACATATAAGGAAAAATAAGGGCGCTTTTCAGAATGACTCAATCTGGGTTTTCCCCAAAAAAATTATGAAGACGTGCTTAGGTTTCTTTTGTCCTTATTCAAAATCCATGGGACAAATCTACAGGATGCATCTGGGGTGAGCTATGTCCGTTAATTATAAGCACGTTAAAAGACAAACAATAGCTGTGCCTAAATGTATTCTTTCTTGAAAGGTACATTCTTTTGTGGGTAAGGCTGGCACTCTCCCTTATCTCTCAAGTACATGATTTTCCTTTCACCGTTACAAGGCTCAAAAAATAGGTTGTTGAGAAAGGTGGAATTGGTTTAGCACATACTTTTCAACTAAAAAGGATCGCCTTCCTGAAGAAAGAACAATATGAAGACAAGGCAGACTCACAATGAGTGGCAGGGAACACTTTTATGAAAATGAAATTTAAATACTAGCTGCATACACGGCCTCATTTAGAGGAAGTCTATACAATATATCAAGGCTTACTCAAAGAAACCCTGGGGAATTGAGATAAATGACACCTGCATCTAGCTGTCTGATTAGCAAGCCTTGGTATTTAAAAAAAAGTTTTGTGCAGGCCAGAAAGAGTGTGAGATAATCATACAATGTTGTCTGTAAAGTTGAGGATTTATCTTGTATACTTATCACACAGTTAGAAGACCAACTTTTCCCTACAATGAATAAAAGTCATCCTCAAATTATGACCAGAATTGAGCCCGGAATTAAGGTTTTAAGTCATTGCAGCCATTAAGCAGGTCGCCATGTGATCATGCTCAATTTTGCAACCATTTCGGTGATGGTTGTTAAGCAAACACAAGGATTGTTAAGCAAATCTGTGTTATCCAATGGGTGTGGTTTTTTTTGCTGGATACTGCAAAAAACCACTGAAAATTGCAGTATCGTGACTGTCAGGAGTTGCAAACAACCATAAACGTGAGCCAGTTGCCAAAATATTTGCCAAATGACCAAAATACAGTCATGTGGCCATAGATGTGTGTGTGTGTGTGCGTGCAGTTGTCCTAACTTTGAAATTAGGCCATAAGAAATTAGGATGTAAGTGCCGGGGCAGGAGGGAGGTCTGTCATAATTTTGAACAGTCATTAAGCGATTAATTGTTAAGCAAGGACTACTTCTTCCAGCTCCCTAATCTCTAATCCTGCCCCTACTGCCAAGCCTCTATCTTCCAACATTACAGATTTTTTAGGAAAGCTGTTGAAGTTCTGAAAAGAACAGACACTTTCTCCTCCAATACTGGTTGAAAAAACCCCACATATATACCAACATAAAAAATATTGCAAAAGATTGTCTTTAAGTAGCCTCAAATTAAATTGGTTAAGTTTTTTTTTAAAATATTTTATTAAGTATAACAAATAAAAAGAAAAATAAAGGGTATACAAACTTAAGGGGGGGGAAAGTAATGAAAACAGTCATGGATACATTTATAAAAGTTCTAACAAAATCAATTAAAGGCAGTCTTCAACTTAAAGTTCATTTAGTGACCATTCAAAGTTACAATGGCACTGAAAAAAGGGACTTATGACCATTTTTCACATTTATGAGTGCTGCAGCATCCCCTTGGTCACATGATCAAAATTCGGATGGCTTGCAACTGGTTCATATTTATGACGGTTACACTGTCCTGGAGTTATGTGATCAGCTTTTGTGACCTTCTCACAAGCAAAATCAATGAGAAAATCAGATTTATTTAACAACTACATTATCAACTTAACAACTGCAGTGATTCACTTAACAACTGTAGCAAGAAAGGTGGTAAAAGGGGGCAAAACTCACTTAACAATGTTTCGCTTAGCAACATAAATTTTGTGTACAACTGTGGTCATAAGTCGAAGTCTACCTGTAATGGCAGTCACATTTTATTATAAAAATCCATACTTAATCCATGTTGATGATTCCTTTGTAAATTGCTAATAACATCAATTCTGCAAGCCGCTGCATAGTTGGTTGGTGATCTGCAGAGTTTGTGTTATTAGCCGTTTTATATTTTTCCATTGACGAATATATATTTTAGCTGTATAAAAGTCATACGAAAATCAAATTTGTGGAACCTAGTTTAAAAATTCATTGCCATTAAAGTTCAATTTTGAGGTCAGGGGGGGGGATGCAAGGTAGAGAAAGGTAACCCTTCATTCCTCAACGCTGCCCGTGTCTCAAAAGAATCACTGTCCAACAGAACAATTAGACTTTCAATTGAATCTTAAGGCTTGTCAAGAGAGTATATTTTAAAACTTAATTTCTGAAGTGTGGCTTTTGGTGTGTTTTAGGTGTGTGGTTGTAGGTGGTGTAAATGGAGAGATCATGTGAATGAAGACTCTGTCTGCAAATTCTGGCCAACTTGGCAGGGGATACATGCATGCCGTACTGGATTTTGCCTCACCCATTTTAGACAGTGGCTCAACACATTGTGGTTAATGGCATTACTGTTTTCAGTTTATGACATCTGTTCAACCATTCAACTTATACTTGCCTTCGGTGCCATTTATTTTGTTTATGTGATAGCATGCCACAGTTCATTCGTTTTGTGCCACGTTTTCATTTAACGCAGAAATATACATGCCAAGTATATCTGTCAAGCTTGGCTTGTGCCAATAACAGCTTGAGCTTTGGAATATCTATGGCATTATTTAAATCTATAGCTCCATATGCCGACCCATGAAAATATTATACAAGTTTGCTACACTGAATTTGCCAGATTGGTAGTTCATTAAGCTAAGCTTTATTCAGACATTCTTGGATTCCACAAACAGCTGAATGTGGCTTAATGATTAATGTATATTATAAACTCTGGGGAATTCCACTAAGTCCAATAAGAGGAAAATGCATTTCCTTCAGAAAATGACAGGCTTGGCAGCCTCAACAAAAGATTTAATCTATAAATTGTGGGGTTTCCTTTGAAATAGGAAAATAGGGATAGATAAAACTGTTAATACATTTGGGGAAAGACCATGGTCTCTTAAGAAGTTATCTTGGTTTGGGGAAGAGAATAACATGAGATAGTTATATTTTTAATCTTTTGTCCTATACTACTATGTTGCCCTTCTTTGGCATTATACTGACAATCCAGAAGATTAGGAGTATAAAATGGACAACCAGCAAATTATGGCATTCATCCTTTCTTAACAACAGATGAGGAGATGTTTTGGAAACTTCCCAAGCAAATTATGAAGTCAAGAGTCTTCTCATCTGGTATTCACCCCCCAAGCATTTGCACATGGTTCTAGAACTGAAAAGGTATGCCTTCTTTTGTCCTAGAGGTACTTTTTCAAGAGACAACTGGACTTTCTGGATTTTCTTTGAAGACGTTTCACTTCTCATCCAAGAAGTTTCTTCAGCCTATTGAAAAAGTACTTTTGGGAAAACTATGACATGGATTACTGAGAATCTCCATAGACATATACCTTCTTTTAATATGATGGAGCTCATCATTTATATATTAAGATTGGGATGTTTGGGACTGATTTTCTTACTTACTTACTTACTGATTTGCTTTTTACTTTGCTATGTCTTTGGATACACCTTGTCACCAAGCTACACCTGAGACAATATTACATTCTCCTCAGCTGTTCTGAGTTAAAGTAGTTTTTTCCCCTCAAAGCAAACCACAGGAGGGAAAGAAATGAAACATTTTTCCAAATCCTTTTGTTTCACCTAATGCTGAACACACACTGAATGCATATCACTCTGGAAATGAAACAGAGCACCAAAATTAATAAAAGTATAATTCTTCTGACACTGGGAACTATCCATTTTTATCCATATGTTATCTACCAGTCTTCCACATGTTGATCATTTATAGGCAGGCAGAGGTCTTTTCAATTCAGGACTTTTAAATTACTGGAGACTCTATTGAAGAAGAGAAGATGAAGTTGTCTATCAACAAACACAAATGTATTCTCCAAGGTAAAAAGAAGAAGAGGAGATCGGAAGGAAAAGCATCAATGATGCAAGAAAATGAACAGGAATTCCAAATTTACCTAGAATCTACTTCTCATTCCCTGGTAATCTAGCAGTTATGCTTATTCCATTTTACTTATTTTATCAAACAGTTATACCATCATATAGTTTTATGTTTTTATACTGTGTTCTGCTTTTTGTCTTGTTTTTTAATGTTGTAAGTTGCTCAGAATCATATGTGTGAGATGGGGAGTTATATAAATTGAATAAACAATAACATTCCCTTTCTTTTATTTTCTCTCGTACCTTCGTCTGACGAACCTTGAAAGATATAAGTCCTTACTTGATAAATCTTGTTCCTAAAGTCAAAATCAGAGGCCAAGGCTTGTTCTTGACATTTAATCTAAGCTTGTTTGGGACAGACAAGCTAGGATGTTACTTTTTCATATCACAATAAGGAAACTACAGACAAATTTTTAATCAGCTGTTTCCCTCTGACAAAAGGAGCTTAATAGAAATGATCCAGCAGGATGCTTTAATATATTTGCTCATTTTTAGTGAGCCAGGATGCTGGGAAATTCTAACTTACCATTACATGCAAAACATAGATACCTTATGAAATCAGCTACATTTCAACTACAAAAGCTGGCAGTGTGAGCCAATTTCTATTCATAATATCATTGTTGCTCATAAAAAATGCATAATCAACATTTGCCTTTTATTTTCATTCAGCCATGTGCCAGTTTTCAGTAAAAACCAGTTCAATCCTCTAGTGGTAACTCATCTCTTCTGGCAATGGAATAATTACAGAATTGTGGTTCAATAGGTTCCTGGGGTTATAGACCTCAACAGAAGGAAAAAGAAAGCTTAGTATTTTGCCTTATTAGTGCTTCTATTACTGTCAGTGTTTAATATTTCAGACATCAGCAAGAATGCATGACAGTGGACGATAATATCTAGCAAGACAATCACACT